AACCAATCACGACAGTGGTTGTCACGAGATACAATTAAATAATCATTCATAGAGAATTCAAATAAATTCATTTCCGAAAAACACCTACGCTGAAGATATTGTCTAAAAGGAGGATAACGAAAGCTTCGCAATTAAATCAACCAGCTAGCTCATAGAATACCACTGAATTAAAGTATGTAACACCAAGCCGATCACACATATTAAAGATCTAAATATTTTCACCTTCCGAAGGAGACCGTTACGAACTTCTCCATCGAATCGTTTAATTTGTAAATCACGAATCCCATACTACTATGCATAAATATTCCATAATTCTTTTTTTAAGCGGCACTGAAGACTGTGTTATTGCTTTAAAGGTAAATGTGTTCATCATCACTGTATAATTACACGAATTATTTTTACCAATAATTATAATAATAATTTTTATAGTAAGTCAGCTGATTACCTAGTAATCTAAATTTTGCATAACTGTTCTCTTCTTGTTGTTGTTATTGTTCTTGTGTTGTTTTATGTTGTGTCAGTTTTGCTTAGCTCACACGTGAGCAAATATATTGGTCTTACACTATATTGAGTCAAGCACACACATACACACACAAAACACACAAACCAGTTGTTGTCAATTGATTGAGTATACATTTCTTCTTTACATACATTTAATCGAACAAAGCGGGCTCTCACATATAACAAATATCTAGTTTATGGATATACAGGAGTTTGTTGCCCTACGCACACACAAACACACAGAGAAAGGGCTTAATAATTCTGAAAGTATACGTATACACAAGAATTAAGGATAAGGAAAGAAGGAGAAGAAGCTTCGATCAGATCAATGATCTACTTGCCTCCTTTGTTACTCAATCCCTCTCCCTCGCTCGCTCGCTCTCTTACTCTCTCTTGCTCACCTTACTTTCATAATCTGATATAGAGATAACAAAATGAAGTATTGAAAACAATTGATAGTAAAGTTGAACTGAAAGTATTCATTTACGTAATGCACTAATGATCATAATCTACACTTCTGTGTCATTCAACTGGAAAAGAAAACCAAGAAAGGGAATAAAAAAAGTTCAGATAAACAAAATAAAGACAATTTTCTCTGGATAAAATTACTAATGAACGAAGAATGAAGAGAAAAGAGAGAGAGGATCAATCAAAAAAGTAGAAATAAGAAGAGGAACAAGGAGATGTAGGGAGGTTTAATTAGGTCTAATGTGAAGTGACCAAATTTAAAAGCTTTGAACAACACACTGATAATGATGATGATTATTACCTAAACCAATGACCGAAGTGTTTAAATAAATCGACACTAACATACACGCACATACACACACGAAAAAAACATTCTGCTGCCTAGTTCTGCCCCAATAGACAACCATGTACTGTCGACGGTGGGTAAACTTTCGTCTTTATCTCAAAAAGCTTTGGATGTGGCCAGATGTTTATAGTTTCTGCCGGGTAAGCCTTTACACAGCAAAAAAGGTTCCTCACAAAAATGAAAGGGAAAGTGCGAACGTTTGGAGTACACAACCACACTGGTGGGAATGCTAGTCTAACTAGGGGAGCTGGAAAACTCTGATTCCCTACAACCATGACAATATGAATCTGGTTTGGTCACCTGAAAGGATGAGAGCGAAGCTTCCGATGCTGCTCCATCACCATATGGATCAGATATCAAGTCAAAGGCTCAGTAGTGAGGTGGTTACTTATGACGACCACTTACTTCGGTCTGGGTGTCCTGGCAGTGTCCCAGCCGTCATACAAACTATGAAATTTTGCTTGGTACATCTCTTGGTGCCTATAATGTAGCAAGTTTGTCTTTCTGGTAGTAATAATAATAATAATACTGCCTATTTACTCCTAGAATTGAGATGACTGGTAGATTGGTTTGTGTAATTTAGATCTGTCATGAAATCGATATAAATGGATCCATTAGATTTTAATCACCATGGAACCTTTCTATGTGATTTCTACTGATTTGATGCGTTAACTTAAGGTTCTTACGATTCAATTGTTCAATGTTTGTTAGGAAAGGGGCTTTGTCATGAGTCATTGGTATATATTATTACTTTAAACATGCTGTAGTCCATTTTCTCCATGAACACTTGTGCTTCTTTTATTTTTAACCTAGTAATAGTAGTATACCAATATTCTTTCCACCTTTCATACTTTTTACTGTTTTCATGATTTTTTCCAGGGTTCGAGACAAACAAATTCATCAAAATTAATCTGATGCTCGTGAGTGACCAGCTGTAGGATGAAGTTGTCCGCAGTTCTAGTGAGATTCGTCCCGTTGATAAAACTGGCTAGTGGTCTCGCTAAAATCACGAATTGGTACAAGTTAGAATTCATGGGCTGGCCATTGAGTCTGGCCCCAGTGGCTGGATGGTCTACGAGCTTGCCTTGTAACTGGAAGATCATAGATGCGAACCCAGGCGGCCGGTGCGTACTGATGATGAGTCAGAGACCAGACTGACGAAATAGCTGTCCAGTACTCTGGTATTGGTTTGCAATGATCACTCTAACTGATATCTTTCTATGATCAAAATTTTTACTGTTTGTTGTCCTTGAAAATCGAGTTGTTTAACATACCCTTTTGTGTTTCAATAACAGATAAAACGAATTGATATATTTCATGTGTGAGGAAATTCATAATTTGAAATTCACTATCTCTTCTGTAACTGATTCAATGAAAATGTTTCTTTACAAGAGTGAATAATTGATAAGTGAACATGTAAAACTAATGTGAAGAGTTGTCACAGAAAAAATATCTAACTGAGAATGTTAATAATGCATGAAGAAGAAAAAAAGGAAATGAACACACAGATAAAAAGCACCAAATCAAAGAGATCTTGATCCCTAGATCCTATGACTTCTGATACTTTACATATACATCTTACGATAAACCCTAACTATGAAAAGAGAGACAACTAAGGTGTCTATAAGTCAAAAAATGAATATGTGTACTTCAAAGACTTAGAGTGTCACAAGTAGCATTACTGTCTCCCTTCACTCCATAATGAACATCAAATAGTCAGTGAAGAAAGGAGAGATAATAAAGGAGTATGGAAACGGATCAACCAAGAACCAATCGCCAAACACCTCTGCACAAAGAAATGGAGGTAGATTGGGCATAGGCTGAGGAAACCGTTGAGTTACATCGCGTGCCTGGCCCTGGAGTGAAAAACGAATGTGAGACCAGTTGGCCAATAGGTTCGTGGCTGATATCGAGCAGGAGATCGTGTGGGAAGGAAATCAAAGATAACGGGCTGTCATGGAGTCGACTAAAGAGGAGTGCAGAGGACACAGTGAATTAGAGATATACTGCTGAAGACCACCTATTTTCCATTCGGAGCCTAAGGGAATAATAAATAATATTATAATCACAAAGAAGTAATAGCAAGTTATTCTTTCGAACCCAGCACCTTCCGGTTACAAGGCGAGCTCGTAGACCATTGAGCTACTGGGACCCGACTCAATGACCAGCCTATGAATTCTAACTTCTACCGATTAATGATTTTAGCGCCACCACCAACCAATGTCTTCGGTGGGAATGCATCCTCACTCTCGACTGCATGGACCCCGCTGGTCATGACTTCTTACTAGAACTTTGTCCTGTAACTTCGTCCAGGTAACCAGCGAGCACCAGATTAATTTTCGAGAATTGATTTGTGGGGATTCCCTTTTCGTTTCAAGTTAGATCACGGATTCATACCAGTTAGAGAAGCATTGACCTGCTGATGAGTCCCAAACTAGGATGAAACAGATGGCTGTACAGTACTCCCTAACATATTTCATGTTAGACAGATTTTCCAATTAAAAAAAAGCTTGTTTTCAACAGCTTTTAAATATTGAAGTCTAAAAAAATAATTTTTATTTATGCTACACTAAACAGAGAGGGCTGGCTTTACAATTAAACACGACACATTACTAACACCAGACAATTACAGAAAAACTAAGAATAAACTCAAGGGTACGGTTAAATCACTGAGGGCTAACAAATTTCCCATCCTATTTAATAGGCATTATATTTACTCTCCTACTATTCTCGTGTAGATTGTTTTCAATAATTCAATTATGCCATAACTATTATCCTTATGAATATTGTTAATTCTTTGTCAATGTGTCGTCGACTTGTTCCCGCTTTTGAAAGCAACAAAAGGAAAGCATAGAGCAGGTGATAGATAGATAGATAGTAGTGGTCGTATGTTTGTAATTACACCAATGATATTCTTTCAATTACTATTACTATGAATATAGCCCTTGAGAAATTAATACACACATTCTGAGTGGAACATAGAGTTTAAGCAGAGCATGCCCATTGAAACTGGCTTCACAATTACTCTCAAGCTTTCATTTCTTCATTGCATGATCGCACCTCCTCCATGTCACACCTGGAAATTCTACCCGCTACTTCCCTGGCATGTGATGTCTCTTGAATATCTCCTCAGTGTAAGTCCGATCCGTCTTCATTATCTTCTGCATATTTGTTCGGTAGCAAGTTTTTAGGTGATTTGCTGCCACAATTCCTTCTCGCTGGCCATCTAATCTTTGATATCTAGCTAGCCAAGGCCAGTGTCGATGCTTTCGGTAAAGCGCACGCTAAATATCTGAACCATATGTAGAAGTACTGAATGACTTGACAACAGTGTTGAAAATTCGGACCCCGTTTTCTTTGCTGCACCAAGTGTTATTAGTCTCCACATTGATTTTACAAGGATGAGCATCTCTCTTGCTTTCCCGATACTGGACTTTGACCTCACCTAGTTTACCAGCCCTCCCTCCTCCTAAAGCTGGAAAAAAGGGCAAGAATGGGTGTAGCGCTAGTAGCTTCACCCTGTATGAATAAAAAACAACCCCATCGCTAAGGAAACCCCATAGCACAGAAAAAGAGACTTAATCGACAATAAAACACTCTGAGAATTCGATACCACATATCAAAGAAAATATAATCCAGAATAGAGGTATTTAAAAAAAAAAGAAGGAATATTGTTATCACTTACCTGACAGTAACCAACATCTGCGTTGTAAACTGAATAGGCGGCTAGAACACGAAATAATGCACATTGTCGTGGACCATAACGATCACGAAAGTAAATTGTATTCCGAAAAGTTCTATTGATGTCTAAATCAATTTGATTTAGGGAACGTGATGAAGAAAGCGCTTGATTTAGCATTTTCTGTGAGAAGACAAAAAGAGACAAGTGAAATAAAATTACTATTAGTGAATAAGTAAATAAACTCACTTCAAAACTCAAATAATACACATATAAGCAACTTATGGATGAAGGACTTGTTGCCGGATGATATTTTCCTTCTAGGTGAAGACACGATGACAAATACCAGAGACCTCTTTAACACCTTGAGCAGAAATATTAGAATGTTTGGCGTGAGATTCGTTGCTAAGAACAAAAAGTCCAGCGAAGAGTTTCTTTTCGGCGGCGAATTCATTCACTTAGCTGTACAATAGCATTCATATATAATTATTTTGTATATATATGTGTGTGTGTACATTAGGATTGTCAAACAAAAATGAAGATTAGTTAGGGTTATTGTTTACGTCATCAAAAAGTTTCAGAAATGTGGTGAATAATCAATTTGTAACTAGTGGAGGAGGGGGAGGGTGAAGATTGGTAAGTATTGACAAGGTTTGCGTAATATGAAATAGGATGCTAATGAAAGATCATGGAGACACATGTCCAAAAGAAATTATGTGATGGGAAGAAAGAGTAAATAACAGGTTGGTGAAGAAAAAGATGTTAGTGAGATGTCATACAAAAATTCAAAAAACATTAAATAACTTGGAATTATATCCGTTTGGCCCGGTCGGTCGGTTTTCGACATAGAACTTTGCAGTTTAAATCGCCACACTCCATGTAGCACACAAAGCCAGAGAAGAAGAAAGTAGGAGAAATGCATATTAGAGACAGTAAACACAGGTGTGAGACAAAGGAATAGTAATAACGAAGAACAAAACAGTTTAATTGGAAATCATAAGTCACAAGGAGTGGATGCATCTGCGCTAGCCATTGAGAACGATTTTGAGCCATGTCACCGATTGTTTCCAACCATTGGTTTTTACCGTCCCGAGGACCCCAACCAGTCAGGAGGTCTACACCTTCCTACGGGGCCTCGACTAACTGTTGTAGATTTCATTGACTGGTGCCATGTTTTCGTTTGACCGCCGCTAGCTCTTTTCCAGCCTGGTCCTATATCAGCTAACATTGCACGTCGAGGAAGGCGAAAGGTAACAGTAGATCAATAATTGAACATTTATCCAACACTGGTCACTCAATATGTAAGGAGAATTCATGCAAAGTCATCTACAAAGTAAAAAGAAGCCTCCCGAAAACGGTAAGCTTCCGTATATTTTGCATCACCAAGGCCTTAGAGTTCCGAAGAGAAAGCCCTGATTTATGTACACAGACCACCTCCACCTCCTCCTACCCTGGGTATAATTCCAAGTTCGACTACTTTGTAATTAATGCTTTTTTGAATTTTTGCATGACATCTTAGTAACATCTTTTTCTTAACCAACCCGTTATTTACTCTTTCTACTCATCACATAATTTCTTTTGGACACGTGTCTCCATGATCTTTCATTAGCATCCTGTTTCATATTAAGCAAACCTTGTCAATACTTACCAATCTTCAACCCCCCTTTCCTCTGTGGCACAGTGGTTAGGATTCTCGCCGACCATGCACATGGTCCGGGGTTCGATCCCCTGCCGGCGCACACGCGATATCTATGGTCGGCCTGTAAATTTGGGCTACCGATAACGCATGCTGAAAATTCCATACTTGTACTGAAAATACGGTGTGGAATCAAGCTGTAATCAAAACAAAATTTGATCATTCATCACATTTCCGAAACATCTTGATGAAGATTGGGAATAAAGTGGTGGAGGGGGTTGGCCCCTTTCACTTATTTTGGAAGCTGCCTCATCCTTAATGAACTGATTGCTGACGAAATCTCAGAACACATACAAAAGGCTTGTGTGACATTTGTCAAATTACATCATCCAGCCATCGACCAAAGGACGTGTGTACTTCATAGCAATTCTTTCCTTCCTCCTTTAAGGCTGAAACATTACCATTGAAAGTGAGAAATAGGAAAAGATTAGCTGTCTTTTACCACAAGTGTTTGTGTTCTATGTCCCGTGTTAAGTAGTATAATATTCTGAGTAATATTCAGGTTAGTCGTATAGTTGTAGGTAGGAAGGCCAAGTGTCAATCGATAGGGTTATGAAGCTACATTGATTGAGATGGCTACGCTATGTGTTACGCATTCCAAGCCGCCCCCCCCCCTCACAGTCGCCTTCTTCGGTGAGTAATGTTAGCTAACATAGGATTATGTTGGTAAAATCAAGACCTGGCACCATTCGACGAAGTCAGTTAATCTGAGCCACGTATGGAGGTGCAGACTGTCTGGTTGGGATTCTCGGAATGCTGAGAAACAATAGCTGGAGTCAATTGGTGGTATGGTTCAAAATTGTTCTCAGTGATGCAGATCCTCATATCTTCTAAACCGTCATGTTTTTCCACGTTACTATTCTTTCTGCCTAACAATTGTGTTTATTAACGTTCTTTTGAGTTACTCTTTCTTCCTTTGAACGGCAACATGGAGTGTGGCAACTAGAACTGCTGCACTTCTGTGCAAAGTTCTATGTTGAAACTGTTAGTCAGTCAAAACATTTGAAGAGAGAGTGAAAACATTCTAAATAAAGCTCATGAGGCTTCCACCTTTTTAAGTAAAATAGCAACAGACAACCGAAGTGGATTCAAACTGTACTTTATATTGAATATTTCTACCTGCTAACATCATACTTTGCACCAACCGAATAACAAGAGATTGAGGTGTCTGATACTATTCAATCTTCTTAGAGTTAAATCTCTTTAGATAAATTAAATAAGGTATACAGTTAACTAATCCATCTGTCTATCCTTTACGCTTACATTGATTAGTTCAGGTGAATGATTACAAGTGCATCGATGGTTCACAATGGCAAGATAGTTGCCAACCAAACACGTGGTCCGGAGTTCGATTCCCGACCGACGCATCCCTAAATCTTCTCTAGTCTGTTGGTCGATAGTAAGCCCAGAAAACAAAAGAGGTAAAGATTGAGTGTAAGGCTAGGAAGCAACCTCACCCCGTGAAAAAAGAAAAAACAATGCCACAACGTCTACTGAGACTTCAGGGTTTGAAGCCTGAAGTTCTATGTGTCAGTGGGAATGAAAAGAAATTGGGAAAAAACAGTGATTCTATGCACTTTCAAGTTGAATGACATTTTGGCATTCATCTACTTTGTATCACTGAATGAAATTTCATTAATCTAAAGACATATCAGCCTTTAATTTCAACAGAGAGAGAGAAGAAAAGGCATGACCTTGAAGAAAGATAAAGCCTTCGTTGTTATACTTATTATTAATGAGATTACTAACTTAATCTATGGTAGAGTCGTTTTTCCCTGAGAGACAAAATTAAATAGGATAATTCATTTAAGTAATCTCGCGTGTAATGAACTGAAAACTGTACAGTACACGTATGCGTGTGTGTGCAACACGAACAATAATCACTTTAACAAAGTAACTCACTAAAACAGAAAACAATAAGGGTAAATGATCATTTTCAGTTTAATTTGAAGTAATTAACATTTATATATGGTATGAGAATGGAAACAGTTCATGGTGACAGAGTATTATTACATCGACTGAGATGGTTAGGACATGTGTAACGTATGCCTAGCCATCGCTTCCTCGATGGGAAATGTTAGCTGATATAGGGCCAGGCTGGAAAACAGCTAGCGGCGGTCAAACGAAAACATGGCACCAGTCAATGAAATCTACAACAGTTAGTCGAGGCCCCGTAGGAAGGTGTAGACCTCCTGACTGGTTGGGGTCCTCGGGATGGTAAAAACCAATGGTTGGAAACAATCGGTGACATGGCTCAAAATCGTTCTCAATGGCTGACGCAGATGCATTCACTCCTTGTGACTTATGATTTTCAATTAAACTGTTTTGTTCTTCGTTATTACTATTCCTTTGTCTCACACCTGTGTTTACTGTCTATATTATGCATTTCTCCTACTTTCTTCTCTTGCTCTGTGTGTGCTACATGGAATGTGGCGACTTGAACTGCCGCACATATGTGCAAAGTTCTATGTCGAAAACAGACACACAAACAGATAGAGTATTATTCCGTGATAGAATAATTTTATTCATTATATTTACAACACACAAAATGATACAGCAATATTTGTTAGTGCACCGAAGGTTCCATGGTAGAATGCTTGCCAGCCACATATACGATTCGGGTTCGAATCCCGGCCGACGCACTCCCAAACCTCGCTGGTAATAAGCCTGATAAAGAGGGAAGGTTAGGCGTTAGGCATAGCGACTCCACATAATAAGAAGAACAAGACTGCTACACAGAAACTTCGAGGCTCAAGCTTGAAGCCGGCCTTATGTTCCACTTGCAACGCAAAAGAATGAAAGAAGAGGAAGATGAATGATTTGTTTACTAATGACATTTTTGAACATTCACATTGTAAATAATTAGAACAAGACATACAAACGAACAATAGTGTTTTCAATTAGATCTTCTTCAGGCTTTACTCTAATTTAAATAGATTTATATATAAAAATGTTAGCCAATGACGGTAGTTTTGTGGATCAAATAATAATAATAACAATAGTCATGTGTTAAATGTTTTGAACGTCAGTAATAACGACAATTATAATGATAACAAGGTTTATACAGGTGGCGATAAGACTAACGAAGCTAGTAATATGTGTATATGTGGACAATTCAATAAATAAATTAGGTCAAGTCTTAAAAGTTACGTAATACTAAAGTTAAAGTAGACGGATAATCAGAGTTTAAAGAAAGGGTGAGAAGCTTTTAACTAAACTTTACCTAGGCAAGCAAGGGAGAGACAAAGGTAGAACAAACTTCTTTTGTTGTATGCAAAGACTAGGATTGTCCTCTCGAATTAAATCCCATAGCTTCAGCTGTATGCGGAAGGCGGATTCAAATTCCGTTCAAAAGGTTCTATGAAATGAGATAGATAACTTTGAAGGCACTTCTTCTGTCCACTTGTTGACCACTATAAATCAAATGAGTGCAAATACAACTTCGAATGAGGTTTATTTAGCCTTTTTCGAACCACGCGAAGAAAGA